GCTGCAAGGAAAATCTCAAAGGAATCCTAAATATTAAAAATGACAAATTGAGGAAATTATACAACAGAATCAAATGGCAGAGAGGCTGAGAAAATGCCCCCCCACACAAATGAACAACAGCTGTGTTATAATTAGTAAATGGAGACCAGCTGTGGCAGTGCAGTATCAGAGAGGATGGTGTAGAGCAGGATTTCAACCTAAAAAATACAAATAAATCAAAGGGTTTCAGAAAAAACATCAGAACATTAGAGTTGACCAACTAAATGAAGAGTAAAAAATAATAAAAAAAATAAATAAAATTAAAAATTAAAAAAATAGTATAGAAAACTAAGGATAGATTGATGTCATAATTATGACATCATCATTTTTTTTTCACCAGATTATAATTCAGTAATAGAATAAAAACATAAAAAGGATAAATAGAGAAAAATTATTTAAGGACAGCCTTTAGGGATTCTATAATAAAACTAGATTCACACACACACACACAAAAAAAAACTGTTCAAATGAGCAAAGAGTTCATGCATTTACTGAAGGTAAAATGGGTTTAGACATTTATTTGGAAACAAAACCAATGTGTGCAAAACAGAAGCAAACAACACTTTTTCTAAATCAATTTTTACACTTTACAGGAAACTGCTGGAGGAGGATTGAGACAGTTAAAATGCAGGACTTTATATCTTTAGAGAGAATGGAAATATGTTTTAAATCTAAAAAGGGGAAAAGTATACAACAGATAAAATTTGGGTGCAAAAAAGAAAAAAAAAGCCAACTGTAAAAACAGTAACCATGAAACATTGCTTTTTATTTTCTTAATAAATAAGCTGGTTTCATTTTGTTGTTTTTTTTACATTCTTCACAATATTATTAGTGTTTTATTTTCTATCCTGCATTGATGCTGGATCTGAAAAACATAAAATAGTCTTTGTGTAAAAAAGGAAATTGATTGTTTATTAACTTTATCTTTTTAGTCCTGTAGATCCAAAGCTGCAACACCAATCATGAAAAAATCCTAATCAAGTATTGCGATAACAGAAAATGCTGTACCCACTTTGATGTAGCATGCTTTAAGCCACTGTCTCTACATGTGTCGCAGCTGAAAAGTTTCCCAGCTGGACAGTTAAAAAGTCATTTGTTCCTAAATGCTGGTGTGTGATTTGTTTCACCGAGATGAACCCTCTTGGTATGGCTGAATTTATTTCCTGTCAAGCAGCAGGCTTCGTCAGGGTCGCAGATGGTGCAGAGAGTTTTTATTATTGAAGCTTGATGTTGTCTGTTTCAACTCCAATGATTCAGGTACAACACATGCCTGATCAGACAGATAATATTTGCAGCTTGAAGTAAAAATACCCCACACATGTTAACTCATAAATATCTAAATTTTACAAGAAACATAAAGTAAATTTAACATTTAGAACTCAGTTAAAAGGGAAATGGCAAATCTTCTAAAATGTTGAAATAGGCACTTATTATACATTTAATTTACTTTTTTTTTTCCACAATCCAATTTTGAGCTGCTACCAAACAGCTGTGACATGTAGCAAAAAGAGATTTAATCATGTTTCATCCCAGTTCATCATCAACAGGGTTTACAATTTTAACTATTGCATGCTTTCCTACTATATATGTCACTATTACGGTATTTAAAAAAAAAGAGTAAAATTTATTTTCCTTTCGCTATACTACAGAGCTGTCAGTAGTGTAAAGAAGATATTTACAAAACATGGACACATTTTAAATTTGTGATAATACACTGTGATAACAAAAAATTAAACACATGATTTGTTTCAGTTTGCAGAGGATCAAACTAAAGGTGACTGTTTTTTATAAAAGTCAACAGATCTTATCTAAATATTTGGAAGGAACATGTCTTGAAATCAATGTATTCGATATTTGTTTCTTGTTTTTCCTAGATTTCAGTGCTGAGTTCAGTGCTGTTAAGCATAACATCCTAAATGGGCAGAACAGTACGAGTTCTGTTCTGATATAATCCAAAAATGGGTAAAATCTTCTTTGATCGCCCACAACTAATTGATATTATTTAGTCATCTTAAATTGGAGCATAAAACATGCAGAGTACAGTGATAGACCGCACCCTAAATGCACCAGGGAGCGTTATCACAGATCCTTCCTCACAGCAGCTGTAAGAATGTTCCCAACAACATCAATAAGTTGTTAGATTGATGCTTATTTTGCAGTTTCTGTCTTAGTCAGTTAAAAAACATGCTGCACATTTTAACATCTCTGATGTTGCTGCTATTCATCACATATCCATTACTGTAAAAATGTCCACAGCTGTTTATTGATTATTTACTCTCCAGATACAGAGCATTTATATTGTAAAAACACTGTATAGTTCAGTACTTACTTTATATACTTTCTAAGGTCCACATTGTGTGACCACTTCTGTTAAACTTTTAGCTGCTTTAACACCATAATTTCCCCATAGTGGGGCAATAAAGGGATTTTCTATTCTATTTATTCTTCAAGACGCCAGAATCGGGCCACTTGTGTTCAACATATACAGTATGTTTCTCTAAATGTGTCACATCTCAGTGTTTTCCAATGGAAATATGTTTTTTTACAAAAATGTAAGATCCATATACGATCCTTCCAGCTCAAATTATGAAGAATCAAACCTGCAATAACTATGCCGATAACATATATTTTTATATTTCTGTGTCACTACTTTACAATAACCCTCTATGGTTGCAAAATGGGTTCGAAATAATCACGCAATATATTGGTCAAAATACCAACTGACCTACTTCAACAAGACAGAAGCTATACAGTATATATTTTAGATCTATAAATACAGGATCAGAAAATCTGCCAGATTTAATGGGGTTAAAGACGAGCGAGTAAACCAAATAACAAGACATCATCAAAGGATCAGACTAAACTACTAATAAATTAGCCTATAATAGAATCAAATCTTAACCTGACTAAAGGGTTTCCTTTTATAACACCACCTCAATAAACGGTTGCATACTTTTATTTTCAGTGACTAAACTATATTGTGACATTGTGTATAAATCACTGCTTGGAGTCCATGTTTAAAAAACAAAAAAAATTTAAAAGTTGATGGCCTATTTCAGTCACTGGTCACATGTGAACATCTGAGACCTACTAACTCAGCGTTTGAGAACTAAAGGTAGGGCAGGGTTTAGTTTCTAGAGTCCATAAAATACTGTGGAGAAAAAAAGAAAAAACTGATTAAATATTTCCTCTCTGTTATTTGATAATTTCTCTTTTTTTATTTTAGAATTGGATTTTTTTTTTTATGTTTGTTTCCTGTTTTTTTTGCACCCATTTGCTTACCAGTGTATAAACAGTGCTATACAAACAAACCTTCCTTTCCTTAAAGGCTTGCAGCAGTTACCCTATTGTGATGTAATCATTTGTTCATCACAGAAACATGCATTTGTGATACAGTGAAGGCTGGAAAAGAATCTGCTGTTCTTTTCAAACCCTATTGTCTCAGTTTTCATAAACAGTTAGTAAGAAAGTATTATTTTAGATCTGCAGAAGGCAGATATTTGAATAGTTGAATAAGAGCAAAAATCAACAATTCAAATCAAAACCTTAATAAGTTCTGCACTGGCAGAGGGATGTCATTATAAGTCAATATTTGAAATATATTACAATGCATTTGAAACAGCAAGGCCTGATTGCACAACAATGCAGGCTCTGACATTCTCAGGAACACCATCAGAGGGACAAAAGATCATTTAAGCTCATTTTCACACCATGAAGAAGGCTTTCTGTACAAGTAATGATCAGAGGGAGTGAAAGGTCAGTATTTTCGGCGGTTACAGAGTTCAGTATTGGGAACGAACGTTTGTTTCATTAAAAATGATGGTAAATGCTTCAAACATCAAAGACCATTACACCTCTTTCATTTATGGCTTTACAGATATTGGAGGGTGGTGACCTTCACTTGAGCAGCTATACTGAAAGTTTTAATTTAGTGTACTGAGGCGTAAAAACAAATGTTTTATAAAGAAGCTAAACATTAGATTTGTTTTAACAGGGTAGCTTTGCTTTACTAAGGAAGTTTGCTTTGCAGAAATTAAAACTGCTAACCCTTAGATATCAGCATGAATATATTTACGATTTCTCTCAGCTTCTGCACTTAGGTGGTTTGCCATTTCTAATGCATAAATGAATACTACCAGCCTGTAAGCTTTAGCACGG